TTCAGCAGCTTCTCGGTAGGGTCATGATGTTTGCAATTTATTCATGCCCAACTGACACATACAATTGAATTCCAAATTAATTTCTTTTCAGGGATAATAGCATAAAAGTACGTTTTATGACTAGTCCTTCAGCCCAGAAGAGACCTTTATGATGATGTGTGAAGCCCTTTTTTGTTCTAAATTAAAATGTGTGGAATCAGTACATACTGACTGGTTTCTTGGTTTATTTTTTAATTTATTTTGAGGCAAGTTTAATGCACATAGAAAATTATGTTTGAAATCCTCACTATTGAGGATCCCAGTAATTGCTGGGAATGGATCCTAGGCTAAATTAGGCAGATCTACTCTTGGAAGATATAGGTAACTCAGCAAGGATCAGCCAGTCCCTAGGCCCTCTCAAAATTGCCACTTAATATGAATGTAAATTAAAGTACTTATCATATAAAGTACATATCATTGTCCAATCCTGGAGTAGTTCCTGTGCAGCAGTCTTTATCTAAAAATGAAAATTTCTAAGTCTGGGTAACCATTAACTGAAAGGTGGGGGTCCATAGGAGGACAGCAGTTCAGAAACTCGTCGCCACAATGTTGTTTGCTTTTGAAGAGTAGAAAGAAGCAGAGGGTTTTGCTGCCCAAAGCAGCAAAGCTGAAAAGATACTACTTCTTGCTGCTTGGACTTGAATCTGTGAGGTGTGGACAATCTCAATCTATCTAAACACTCAGTAATTGCTTTATTTTTAAGCATGTATGTGAATAGTCTAGTGCCATTTCCAGATAAATCAAGAGCCAAGTTACTACTCTTTGGATTAGAGCAACATTTGGATTAGAGCACCAGTAAGAAATGAGAAAGTTGGTTTTGTTGTTGTTGTTGACACCAGATTAATATTAAGACTTCAACTCCTTGACCCTAGGGGAAAAAAAAAAAGTCATGTTACTCTGAAGAAACTATCCTGGGATACCTGTAAGTGTGAGAGGGAATAAATTTAAGTATGTGAATGTTGTTTGAGGGGGCAGGGAGGAAGCAAAATGCTGAATAACCCTCATCCACGTGCACATCTTCACCAGCCAGCATTTAATTGCAGGCCGCAGTGTACACAAAGATGGGAGCGAATCTGTCTCCCCAAAAACTTTGAAGCTAGAAACTAAAAAAAAAAAAAGATTCATTCCTGTAGTACAAATGGCTTTTTACATCCAACTTAGTGATTGGTTTATTTTTGATAATGTATAGCTTCCCAGCAATTACGTAAGCATGGGTTACCTAATTTTCTTTGAGGAATTCTGGTGTAGAAAACTGATCCAGCCTGGAGGAAGGGACAGTGCTTTTACAGGGACTTAGAAACCTCTGGCATGTTGTTTGAGCAGCGTAAATGAAGCATGGCAAATTGTTTCGATTAGCAACACCCCTCACATATAAAAGGAATTTTTTGTGGTTTGGGCTGCATCCACCTCTTGTATTAAAGAATTGCTACACCGCTGCACACAAGTCAGGCTTTACGCTTCTGGGCAAGATGAATCTTCAAAAAGAGAAGGAACTGCTTTGTTTCTTGCTACGTTTGTGTGTGTGTATTTAATATATAGACATGTGTTTTTTATCCTGGTACAACTGCTGCAGTCACTCATAGCTGTAGAAAGAGTGCCATGATGCATCCTGTCAAAGATGCTCTAACAGAGCAATACTCCGTCAGCACACAGCACCTTTTTCGATGTGAGACTAGAAAAATGGCCTCACTTTCTAAAGATGTTTTCTCAGAAGAAAAGGAAGAGAAAAATTCTGGCGATGTCCTGTCATCTTTGCAGGAAACCTGTTATTTATTTTCTTCTAACTGGAAATTATTTGATTTCAGAAAGTATGATTTAGAAGAAACCAAGTGTTTTCTTCCCCCCCCCCCCCCCTTTTTTTTTAATTTCATTGTCACCATAAAGCTGAACTTTGATATTGCCCACCTAGGCGAATGTCTGTCCTACACATGGTGGATGCAAATCCGTGCTGAAGGGAACGGTGGTCTTCTGGAGGGGTGGAGGAGAGTGCCACGTGCCTCTCCTCCCATCAGGGGAGAGAAATGGTGAAAGGGAGCGCAGGAGAGACAAAGTTTGTGACTGATTTCAAGGGAGCTGAGCCCTGGCGAGCAAAAGGTATTTACAGACCTCCTGGATGAATTTCATTTCTGCCGGAGGCTTTTTGCTCTGAGGGGTTTTTTTTTCTTTGTTTGTTTTTCAAATGTAGGAACTGAGGGCAAGTTCATGAAAGATGCAAAAAGAGCTTCAGGGTACATCAGGGTCCCTGCAACAACTTCAACCTATGTGCTGTTTTTCCCAGCAGGGGTTAAACATTAGTTTTTACCGCAGTACTTGCACGGCCACAGCCCCTCCACGAAAAAAGCAGCAAGCTGTGCTTGGCTGAATTACACCTAGTTGCTCGACTTTGAAACTGGTTTCTCCCTGAGGCGCGCTGAGCCTGGCATGTCTCCATCAGCCAGCTAGGGCATCACCTCTGCTGTTGCCCGTGACTTTTTCCTTCAGAAATGCAGAAGTCTTGAGTGGCCTTAGGCCTCCTAGTAGCAGGTGGGGTTGGAGCTCTCCCACAGGCTTTTCCCACTCAGATTGACTTTTTGCCCAATATTTATGAATGGCCTTTGGAGCGCTTGGGTGCTCACTTCTGAACATGACTTGAGGCCATCACTGGTGCCTGCTGAGGTCAGAAGGGCTGCGTCCTCCAGTGGGGTGGTTTGGGTAAATACTGGGAGAGGTGAGGGGATGTTTCCATTTCAGGGGGTACCTCCTCAAATGAAACAGGGACAGGTTTGGATGTTCCTCTTTCTCAGGAGCCCTGGGCACGGTTTTGCCTGAAGGTGTTATTAGGATATCCCGAACCTCCGCCACTTGCCACTGCAGTAAAAGCATCACTGTCTTTGATCTTTATTTTAAGGGGTGAAAAATGACAGACAGGTCCCATGCAGACAGCTGCCTCCCTATATGAGATTAGTCTCGGCAAGGTATCTATTAAGTACATGTGTATGAATCTAGTTTTCCGCACAGAAGAGCCTGGCCTTAAGTGAGATTCACCATTTGGTCTCAGGAGTATGAACTGCAGGCTCCTAGCCTAATTATTTTAGCATCTGCTTCAAATTCATCATTGCAAATGCTTTTTATTTAAAAGTTGTTTGGGTTTTTTTTTTTTTTTTTAATTAAGAGAGAAGCAAATTAATGGTGCGTTTCTCCTCTCAAAATGCTGCTTTTATTTAATTGCTGGATTCTGGAAAAACTAACCCAAACCCCAATATGCATAAATGTGGTATTGTAACATATAGTGAACTATGAAGCCAAACAATCATTTTTAATGAGGTAAAAATGACTGGTCTACAGTTTAAGCTGCTAAGTAGAGTTTTGTTCATACTAAACCGCATGTTTGCAATGTGGGGCATGAGTACGTGAGGCTTTCAACTTCGGACACCTGCACATCCACTGGTGTCTTCCCACGCTGTAGAAACTTTCAGAGTTATGCTACTTAGAAAAATAATGCAGCTTCTGATCTCTTCAAAAGTGAGGACTTTAAATGCTGGGATGTTTCTGTATAAGAATAATCTTCATAGTAAGATGCAAACCCAAAAACTCGAATCTTTATAGATTTCACATTCCCACAGTAAATTAAAACTGTTCTACTTTCTACCAAATCAAACCTGTTTAGATACTTGGTAATTATTTCCACAGCTTAATGCTTTACCTATTCAAAAGCTTGAAAAGGTTCACATACTTTCCCTTAACTTGTTTCCTTAAGTTAATTAGAGTATGTTTGGGTTTTTATTTAATAAGGGGTAAACCTAAAAAGTAAGCAAAGGCATAATGAAATCTTCTGGTGTTACTGCTCTGTGAACATTTTGTAGCTTAGTCTTTCAAAGCAATTAAAAAAAAGAAAAAGGCAGCAAGCCCTTACATCTTCCTCTCTAACTTCTTTTCTTTGGGTAACGGAGAACAAGTTTCTAAATATCTTAAACCAGCCAAGCAAAGCATATGGTTTCATACATATGTCTAATATCCTAGAAGACAATTTAGTGGTTTTCCTTGCTGGTCAAACATCCAGGGAAAATAGGCAATTTACTATATACTTGTGTATTCTGACATTTGATTTTTGGCTGATCAGTTCTGCAGGTCAAACTCCTACACACTCTCCTTAGGTTTTTGTGGCCACCCATCTGGGTCAAAGGATGAGATACAGCTTCAGCTGAAAGGAGGTGCTGGATTTCTGTGACAATGCTTCTACTCGTGGGACATGACTCTTAAGGAACCTGTGCCCAGGTTATAGCTGGGAAGGTAGCACTGCTGGAAGTAAGGCAACTCAACCTGGAGATCTTGAACCATGTGTCAATTAAGTTGCTCCAAGCACTGACTGAAAGGTAAAATTTTGTCATCACCCCCTTTTCTTTTCCTACTGCTGTATTTTCACATCCTTTCTTCCTCCCTCCCCGTGCTCCCAGTCTGCCAAATTCAAGACAGAAGTCTCCAGAAACCACTTTTTTGGTGAATGTCCTCTATGAGATTTACACCAAGCAACCAATGCTGGGGTGAAATACTTTTAACCTCTGTCTACAACATATTTCTTACTCTGGCCACACCTGAACCTGCTTGGTTTACCTGAGTTATAAATGCCTCTGCTGTCTTGGCTTCCCTTCCCTCTGGCTGGAGAGGTTTGCTACGGCAAGGTCCCCAGGTTTTGCTGTCACAAAGCTGCTTCAGAGTTGAATTGAAGTGGCAGTACTTGAAGCAATTGTTTACATCTCAAATAGCTGGAGAAGTACTTGGGAAAACTTAAATAGGGGTAGGAAAAACTCAAATTATTCTGGCAACTATCACTTCTCTTGACATGAATGACCTCTCATATGAGTTAATACCCAATTAGGCACCGAAGTGGGCAGAATGATAAGCCAGGTCCACAAATGGTGCAACGAATCATGTCTCTACCAGTAACGAAGATACACTTCACAAAACCTGTAATTGCTTCAGTAACGTTTACCATAGTAAAAATGTCTCCACTGATTCACACTTCGCTTTAGATGATGCAACAGTGATGACTTTGTGGCTTTCTGTCACCAAGGAACAACACAGAGGAGATGTTCCCCTTCCTGCTACCTCAAAGTATAAAAAGATGATGGGAATAATGTATCCCTTTGCTTTAGAAATAGTACAATTTGAGGCTCAGATACCAATTTTAACTTTAATTGTTAAGGTGAAACTTATCCCTTACTCTGAGGGTGGATATTTTCCTGTATCCTACTGAGCCTTCTCTTGAGGGTCAGTGTGAGGCTCAGCTTTACGCTTGTCCTCACTCTGGTTCCACAAAAGCCAGGGGAAAGAAGACCACCGCCCATAAAGGGAGCCCCTCAGCTTCCTTCCCTAGATACAGAGGCAGTTTTTAGTAGTTCATTTCCTTGATTTATTTCTAATAAACAGAAATAAAATCAGGTGTGAATGCCCATCAGGTGGATGCCACCTGACTAAGGTAGGAGGAGGGAATGGATCTCAAATTTGAAACTCCCCATGGGATGGGGCAGGGGGAAATTTTAAAAATTGCTTCCCTGAAAGCCAAGCTCATGGAGGGGCTGAATGACTGAACAATTTGCACTGTGCCATCAGCAGTTTCTGATCAGGATGCTCGGATTGCTGGGTTTCAAAGCGGTGCTGTGAAAACAAAGGGCATGTGGAGTCGAGTTACTGAATGCGGCAAGCGGTAGCTCCTAGTGAGTTTGGGGGATGCGTTTGTTCTCCTGACACTTGGTAATAACAGCTTAGGTCCAATGCAGACTTTTGGGGTATTTCTTATTGTTGGTAATTAATAAGCTATGCCAAAATTTGCGTTGTCTCACGTGATTGTCGTGAGGGCACAGATGCAAGAGGAAGATCCCGTTTGCTGTG